TTTTTAAAAATTTTCATTGAAATTTGTAAACAGGAGTGAGTAAATTCACTACTCATTGATATTTTTGCTTGTTCTCCGCTAAAACGTTCGCTTTACCAGCATATATTTTGCTTAGCGTTCGCTTTGCCAACATTGCAGATAAACCGAACGTTTGAGATACCCCATTTCATACCGCTAACTACTCAATTATTAGACGAGTTACAAATCTTTTTTTATATGAGTAGATGCAGAATTTAATTCGCTTTCCCGTGGTATAAAAAGGAAAATTTTAGCCCTTAGAATAATCAAGATATAAGTGATGGAACACAGGTAGTGGCGAAACTACCAGGGGAGCTTGGGGGAGCTCAGCTCCCCCTAGAAAATTTTGAACCTGCTGTCAATGGACATGTGAGCTCCCTCCAGAAGGGTCTTGAAAAGAGTTGAGCTCCCCTAGAAGGGTCTTAAAAGTAGTTGAGCTCCCCCTAGAATGTTTTTCTGGTTCCACCACTGAACACAGGCACCCCTAAAATGCGTTCGGTTTACCAACATTGACTCTATATGATATATATGACGATACTGGATAAAAAGAAGTGATGTCGCTCGAAGAAGAAAATTATTTTAAGGGGACCTCTTTCCGGGGTTTCTGAAGAACGGCTGGGCAAAAATTTTTCAAACTCTCAGGGTAGATAGACCTTGATGAGTAGAGCAAAAGTTGTCATAGACACAAAATTCTCAGATGCCTCCTTCTAGGAGTTTTTGGGGTCCTAAGACCTAAAAATGACCAAAAGTTTTCCCCTCGCAAAACTCGAGACTTCATTATTTTGACCTGAAACTTTATGTGTGGCAACTAGGGCCCAATCGGGGTGCGTTTTTTTTTGGTTTTGAAAAATATTGGTTCCATACGTCAGGAGAAGCAAAATACTGAAGACCTTGTCAAAAACGTTGTTTTTTCCATGGTACGAATTTTTCTAAAGGCTGCCAAATTTTATAGGAACGACATTTCGAAGAAAAAAAAAATACGCACTCGAATTTAGTCGAAGTACTCCCAAAAAAATTTTGAGCCCGATCGGTCCAGCTGTTTCGGAGAAAAAGGGGGAAAACTTCAGGTTTTTGCCTCAAAAACCGAGTCTTCAGAAGAATTTTTAAAAAATTGAATTTTCATCGTTTTTCGAGTTTTTCATCACAAAAGCAAAGTTTGAAAAAAAATTGAAATTTTTGGGTCCGCAAAGGGGGGGGGTCCCCTTAAAAGTAGTGTACTAGATTTTTTAATTCTTCTACAAATTATGAGTTTCTAAAGCGACTCCGCGCAGGTAAACAATAAGAAAATCTTTTTGCTCCTTGAAAGTACACTGTATTCATTCATTTGCACTACATTATAGAGGCTATTCTCAATTTTGATTAGTGGACCAGATGCTATATGTGAACAAGTGTCGATTTAAAACGAAAATAATACTGTTTCATTTTCTAGTGTAGAAGGGGTCTTTTCTGCACGGGAAAAATTGAAATATATAGAGATCAAACAGACAAGAAAAAATAAAGCTGAATTAAGAAATGTGATTGGTGCATTAAAATTTAAATCATCTCAAAAAGATGACTTAAGTTCAATTATGCAATGTGATTGGCGTATTACGTTTTAAGTTAATTCGTTTTATTCTAGTCTGTTTGGGGTCATAGCCATGCTGCGGTTCACACGATAGAAAAGAATAATGACTTTTTTATCTCATATGAGACGAATGATCGTATAACATTTAGCGGTATTGACCGAACGGCACCTTTTCTCGTCGTGTTTGTTCAGTTCATGAGAAAGAAATGAAAATATTTTTTTTTCTCTCTAACATATATTGAGGGACACCTACAATAACACTCGAATATTACATGACATAATATACTTTAGGATGATCTGTATGTATTTTCTTTATTTTTCTACGTTTTATTTTAGTTAAGATAGAAGATCTATGTGCTGAAGAAACAAAAGATTATATTTTTCTTCAGTACTTTAATTAACGCTGTTGAAATAAACTAAGCGTTTGTCACTTGCATAATTTTTTTTACCTCTAAATAGTACGTCTTAATTGTAGTTAAAATCGATCATATTCTAACTAATGAACTAAGGTTTGTTTTATTTTTTCTTTTTCCAAAATAAAGAAAAAGAAATTTATTTCTTCGAATTTTAACTAACCATATTAATGAACTCGCTAATCGAAGTTTCAAGTCGTTTTTATTGTTTGAGTATCTTATCAATATCAAAATATACATTAATACTGAAGTAAAAAGGTTGATGCTGTGAAATATCACATATGATGAGCGTCCTAATTTAAAGGAAAAAATTAAAACATCGTTCACAGACAATATCTCTCCAGACAGTTTTTACTTACGAATCGATCTTTCAATGACATGTTGGTCGTTCCTCAAAAGTAGATTTATCGTATTTAATTGGGTTTGCCAAAGACTCGAGTTTTAAAAGTTCTGTTTTAATAATACTTTCATGTGGATGTCTTTAATATTAATGAAACTATGATTGGTCTGAAATTATTAATAAAATGACCTTTAGTTATAGAGCGAAACTTTTATTTATTTTGAAATAATAGAAAAAAGAAAAACGAAAACACTTTTCTAAATCCAATATAGAAAATTAATATTAAGGTATGGAATTTTGAAGATGCGAGACTATTATTGAATAAGTGAGTTTTGTTAAATTTTGTTCTCTTTTTGCAAATAGAAAACAAGAGGTGACAATTTTTACTATAGATCCTTGAAATGTGCTTTCAAATATAGTAGAGTTAAGCTGAATATTCTTCCTTTGTTTTCTGTTCTTAATGATGCAGTGTTTATTCATTCATTGTCCTATAATATCAGCGAGGAAATACATACATCATTGCATCTCTGTAATATAATAGCCTTGACCAACAAATAATATACGATGTACAATGTGTGCTAGGAGAAAAAGATGGTATTTTTTACTACAATATACAGCGTGGATCAATAATGAGTTGAATAACATAAGTCAGTAATTCCTTATTATCATTGAAAATATTTACCCTTTCATATGTCTGTACAATAATCAGATCGAAAATTGAATGGATAAAGTTATAAAATCAAAAGTATTATTTAATATATTTGTATAATGTTGAAATGAAAGAAAACTGAGATGCTTATTCATCAAAAGGTCATGCTCACTGACGTTTCAAGGCTTATAGGACTTTTTATTTTTAAATCATTTTTTCATCTAAATAAAAATTGTTTGAACTTTAGTAATATTTATGTAATCTTCTGAAAATGAATACTATTTTTTTTGTTTTTATTTCGTTACACCAGTCATTTTATTAGTGATCAGTAGTGATCGAACTTATGAAAAGAAAAGTATAAAATATCTTTCATTTTAGATAAAATGATCAGTAGAATGGAAATATTACCTAATGAAATTCTTCTTCATATATTTTCTTATCTTGAATGGTTCGATATGTTAACATCTTTCTGGTCATTAAATATTCGCTTCAATTCTCTTGTATGTTCAATTTTTTCGATAAATGACAATAGATTGAACAGTGGTCTGCTTATTACGCATGGTTTATCTTATAATAAATGTTGTTCAATATTATTTCCATTGATTTTAAATTCATCACCTCTTTCTTCTTCTATTCAACGTATTCATTTTGATGGATCAAATTCAATTGCTTCTGATCTTTGTTATGAATGGTTATTTAATGATAAAAAATTACTTTGTTTTCCAAATCTTAAATCACTTGTTCTTGGTCAATGTGGATCAATTAAACCAATAGTTCAAAGTTTATCTTATCTTGTTCAAAATCAATTAGATGAACTTACATTAACATTTAATAAGCATGTATTCACACAGTTTTATTATAAAGAAAACCATTTGTCACTGGTTTCTGATAAAAGTAACCAACCATTTATTTGATAGATTCTATAAAACAAGATAGGATTATCTCTCTTGAAGAAATCATTCTCAATTGAAACTAAATTCTTTCACTGAAACAAAGAAGAGTATTTACGTGTCAAACAATAAGACCTATTTTCGAGAAAACTTTTAGATGGAAATCAATATTTAACAATTGTTGACAATCACTATTACTGAGTGAAGATCTAGTAAAACGCTCACCTAGCTGTAGAACATAGGATTATGGTCGCAAACCAAGCTAACTTTTCTCTTGACACAATACATCCTATCCAATAAGATAAGTGTCAGCTTAAAATTGATTTATCACATCATGAGATTTTCTCTTAAGATATAGAAATTAATATAATAAGTAATAACATCCAATTTAGTAATTTATTGTTTTCCTGTTATGCAAAAAAAAAACATTAAATGTGAATAAGTCGTATGTCGAAGGGGAAACAGCTGATTCTGGGTAGAAAAAATCATCTGGAATCACTTGGAGTCATCAGAATCATTCGGAATCACTGGAAATCATCCGAATCCAAGGGAAAAGCAGCTGATTCTGGGCAGCAGAATCATCTGAAATCACTAGTATCACTTAGAATCACTTGAAATCAACGGAATTTTGAAATCTTAGAGGCAGCTGTTTCCACCTTACACATATAACTATAAATAAATTTTGGTTAATTGTTAATTGTATTTCACGGTTATCTTAAACATGTTCCAGTCATTTATTCATTGAAAGATCAATCAACTGTTATAATCATTCAGTTGACTCAATAGAAATAGAATTAAATTTATTTTATTTTTGTATGTTGTTTTTTGATCAATCAGAAAAAGAGTGAGATTATATAAATATCAGTTTTACATTAATAACCTAAAATTAAAAAGATTTTTTCATAAAAAAATATTTTTTTAAGCAATAGAAAATTTCTCTTTTTTATTTTTTGAGAAACAATAGAAAAACAGTTCACCATGCTCAAACAATTTCTTTGTCAATTATTCTCTGGTCAATGTCAATTAAAATCTCTTCGACTTGATATTAGCAACGAATTTAGGGATGGTTTTTTTCATCGATGTTTATCATCAAACTCTAATCTTTCTTTCGATTTTATTCAATATCCATACCGATCTTCTTGTATAACTCTTCGTCGTTTACATATTCGACTTAATCAAAGTTGTTTTCTGGAAAATCTGATTGAATATGTACCAAACATCGAACAAATGTCAATTGAGTGTGATTGTTCTTTGTGTTCTTATAGATTAAGGACATCAAATATTGAAACATTGAGTCAATTAAATGAAAATTGGTTTAATAAAGTAAGAAAAAAAACAAAGAATAATCATCTTTTTTTTATTTGATGAATTTCTTAAAATATCTATTTCTTTTAATTGATAAAAAAAACAATCGTATTCTTTTAGATACCAAAACTACGATGTTTTAGTTTAAAAACTTTCATTAACAATGATTCGAATATTATTTATTTGAAATGGCTTCTTAATAATATAAACTATGTTGAGAAACTTCAACTTCAACTTAGAAGTGATAAACTAATTGAAACAAGCCGTCAAAATATATTAAAATCTTTTATTGATGCAAGTTTTATTCGCCAATATTGTTTACCTGATACAATATCAAATTTAATTTATTTTGATTTTTATATTTGTTCAGAATGTCAATTATCATTTAATGATGTAGAAAAAATAACAAATTCATTTAAAATTCATTCTTTTTTTATCGATCATCAATGGACAAATGTTAAATGTTTATTTGATCCAATAATGTCATGTCAACATCTTTTCTCTTCTCTCAATAATACATCTCAAATTTCCGATAATTTTATGTAAGATATTTGTCTTTATGAAAAATTTGAGATCTTCTGAATCACTTATATATTTTTCTTTTAGTGATTATTCATATATTTTTAATTGGCCCCGTACTGGTGACATTTGGTTTAAAATGTATCCATCACTTTATTTTTTTCTCGAACAATTCACTGAATTATCACCTAATATTTCTTGTGTCAAAGTATACAGAGGTAAGTTTCTTTGCCATTTCAATTACTCTCTTAATGACTAAAGAAATAGGTGGCAAAGTTCGGGTTATCGGAAGTTTGTCGATAGTCACACTCATGAGCGCTCATATGAGCGTGAGCAAGCGCTTTTCGCTGACGTTCATATGAGTGTTCATGAGTGTGGGCATGAGCTGTACATTCCTACTTTGTTCTGAAATGAATCTAATAGAAAAATAATAAAATAGTATTTTTAAAAGTATAAAAAATTTCTATTTTTGTTTTAGAACGTAACAGAGCTTTCGTCGAGTCAGATTTTTTGATGTCATTGAAGATCTTATCCAAAATGAGGCAACACAAGGAAATCAATATTCATTTTCGAAATGTTACGAAAATTCAATTTGGAACGTATTTTGACCGGATGAATAGTTTGTATTATATTTGATTTTTTTTTCGAAGATTTGAAAAGAAATAGCTTACTCTTTATTTTTAGTTAAAAGAAAACATTATCACAAATTTCTTTTATTGCTTTAAATTTCACATAAAACTATTTTCTTATAGTCAGCAGAACGAAATGAACTTTTTTTGTATATTAAGATTTAATATTTTATAATTATATTGAGACTTTAAACATGAGTTTTATAATTATTGATGCTGAGTAGAATTTGAGTGGTCATGAAAAAAGACACGATTCATAGAGAAAGTCATTTAGTAATATTAGGTTTAACCACTAGTATTGAGAATCTCTATTCAAACTCTGATCGTTGTTGGATAGATGCTGCGTTGATTAAAGACTGTTGCCTGTTCGGATACACTTACTAATAATACAGTCTGTCATTACTATGCAGGTTATGGTCTACAATCTGTTTCGCTCCGTTTCAACGTTCTTTTCTCTATGAGAACAGTCTTAAAAATCTCATCTTCCATTTAGAATTTTACTTGGTTATTAATCATAGATAGAAATATTCTAATTAAAAATGATTTATATGAAAATATTTTTGTAAGAGATTTCGTATCGATGGAAGAATGCAGTGAGCAATGTTAATTCTTGAGATATAAATAATAAAAATCGAACGAAAAATATTATGATTGGCTCATAATTGAGAGATATTTTCAATCCGGATCAAAAATTTTATATTTCGACAATTTGATTATTTAATATTTAATAATAAACATCTAAAATATTTCATAACTTCTCTTGACTGTTAGATAATAAACAAAAAATAATTTATTTTCTAAATAATTTTAAAAAAAATATTATTTCAAATTCGAGTTAATTTCAAATGATTGTTGAAAAATTTGAAATAATTTTTCTTACATATTTAATTCATTTTCGATTTATTCATATTAGAATTATTCTCATAATATTTCATAAGTATAAAATAAAGCTTAACATATTGCTGCATATTATTTAAATAAACATGAATTTCGTTTGTTAAATGTTACTAAATTATTTTATAACGGATAAATCATTCAGATATGAGAAGTAATTAGAGATGCAGAATCTGATGTTAAAATGAAAAATTTCCCTCACACGTGTAGTCGCGCACAGATACATTCTACACGTCTGACAAGTAATATTCTAAATTAAAAATGATCATTAGTTTTCTTTCAAATAATTTGTTCTGAGATCTTAATAAATACAAGAGAAATATATAAGTATCGATTAGTAAATGTGAAATAAACACAATAAAGAAATGAATCGACTATTTTCAAAGAGATTTCTAATTTTTGTAAAAGAAACTTCAACGATTATATCTATATGTAGAATAATATAATTTTTATGTATATAATGTTCTCAATGTTACTAGCAGTCGTGTATATGAGTGAATTGCAACTTTTTGGTACGATTGATGCAAAAAAATGAAAGTGAACCTAAACAAGTGTTGAATAGTAGATTTTATTATGCTCTACGCCAGTAGTATGTAGCAAAAATATCCCAACGCTTGACCACATATTAGCTGAGATATAACTTTCTTCAGTGTAAATATAGCATAAAAACTGTTATTTTAATGAAAAAGGCCCTTTTACAGCTTATCATATAATGTAAATTTTTCAACAACGGTAAGTGATAGAAAGCTGAATTTTTTACTGGTTATATAACTTAGAGAAGTATATATACAGTAAAAATTTGAGCGAAAACAAACAAGCCGTTCAAGAGTTATTCACATAGTAATTTTTCAAAAGGTCAATCTACATTTTTTTAAAAAAAAGGTCAATCTACATTTCGTCATATAATGTAAATTTCTCGCGAACGGTAAGAGCTAGATGGCTGAAATTTTTACCATTTATACAACTCTAAGATCTATATTTATGGTAAAAATTTGAGCGAAAACGGATGAGCTGTTCAAGAGTTATTAGCGATGAATTTTTCAAAAAGTCAATCTACAAAATGAGTAAAACTTGCATTTTTGGAAAAAGATCGTGTTTTTTAACAAAGAGGAAAGGTGTTCACAAGATGTTTTTTTATCAACACAGAGACTAATAACAAATAAAAAAATTGTCCAAATTGGTTGAGGTGAACAAACGTTATTAAGCAAATACAGCTAAAATTCCAATCGTACCAAAAAGTTGCAATTCATTCATATATATTTAACTTTATTAAGACTATAAAATACACTT